ATAGGCACTGGTCATGAAGGGGTGATCAACCCCCACTCACTAATAATAGGCACTGGTCATGAAGGGTTGGATCAACCCCCCCCCCCCTCACTATACAGAGGCACTGGTCATAAAGGGGGGATTAACCCCCTCCCCGTACATAGGCACTGGTCATGAAAGGGGGATCAATAACTATCTACGGGCTCAACATAGCCCGTGTTACTTGGAACTTTTTGTTCCAGGTAGCGAAACTTTAACAACAATAACAACAGGGGGGATCAGCCCCCACACACCATACATAGGGACTGGATATGAAGGGGATATCAACCCCCTCACCATACATAGGCATTAGTAATGAACGGGGGATCACCCCCCCCCCCCCACCATACAGGGAGTCCTCACCATAGATAGGCACTGGTCATAAAAGTGGGAAGATCTTTGATCCTTTGATCTTAGTGAACGGGGGATCAAGGGTTGATCCCCCGTTCACTAGTCATGAACGGAGGATCAACCACCCCCTCACCATACATGGGCACTGGTCATGAAAGGGGGATCAACCTCACTATACATAGGCACTAGTTATGAAGGGGGGATTAAACCCACCACCCTCACCATACATAGGCCAGGAACATGAAGGGGGGAAGCAACCTCTCACTATACATAGGCACTGGTCATTATGGGGAGTTCAACCCCGCTCACCATACATAGACACTAGTCATGAAGAAGAAATCAGCCCCCCTTCACCATACGTAGGCACTGGTCATGAAGGGGAGATCAACCCCCTCACCATACATAGGCACTAGTCATGAAGAGGGGATGAACCCTCCTCACTATACATGGGCACTAGTCATAAAGGGGGTGATCAACCCCCTCACCATACATAGGCACTAGTCATAAAGGGGGGATCAACCGCCCTCACCATACATAGGCACAGAGGGATATGGCAAGGGAATATCATATCCCATACAGAGGGATATGACAAGGGAAGAGATAAAGCAGGCAGCAGGGCGCGAGGAAGCAGCGAAGGGAGAGAGAAAGGAATCAGGGAGCCACAACCCCGATCCCTACAATCCCAGAGGGGAGTGGGGAACCCTCCTCAAACAGTGCACTAGCCACAGGGAGTGCGGCACCACCCCTACATTCTACCCAACAGACACCCTACCTGCCCCAACCCCTATCAGCTCCCCACTAAGTACCTACCTAAGGCACCCTCCCACCACCCACCCACCCTCCTCCCACTTCCCCCTCCCCCCAGGACCTCCCTTCTCCCCCATCCCCCCAAGCCCTCCCTTCTCCCACATCCCCTCCCGTCTCTCCCACCCACAAGCCCTCCGTTCTCCCCTGCTCCCCTAAGCCCCCCACTCTCCCCTACCCCACCTACGCCTTCCCCTCTCCACCACTTCCCAAAACCCTCCCCTCTTCCTCACCCACCTCAGCCTTCCCTTTCCCCCCACGCCCCTCAAGCCCTCCCCCCTTTACTGCCCCCCAAACCCCCCCTTCTCCCCCATCCCCCCAAACCTACCCCTCTCACCCCCCCAACCCTCCCCCTCTCACCCCCCAACCTTCCCCCTCTCTCCCACCTCCCCAACCGTCCCCCTCTCACCCACCCCCCCTATCCTCCGCCTCCTCCCCACCCCCCCAAGCCCTTCCTCCTCCACCAGTCTCCCCGTACCAGATCCTCCCAGCTCCCGCTCACCCCAGACCCCACAGGTTCCCCCTAGAGGAGAAGCAGAAGAGAGTCAGTTTCAGGGTAATGTACTCAAACATAGATGGGATCACAAGCATGGCAAGTGAACTAAGGGAAAGAGCACAAGAAGTGAACCCAGATGTAATTGGGCTCACTGAAACAAAACTCTCTGGAATCATAACAAATGCCGTGTTTCCCCAGGAGTACACAGTAATAAGGAAAGAGAGGGGAAGGTAGGGGAGGATGCGGAGTGGCCCTACTTATGAGAAAGTAATGGAGTTTTAAGGAGATGGCTATCCCGGGCTGTGAGGGCTTTCAGAGACTACATAGCAGGCACCTTGACAATGGGAGGACCAAGGATAGTAGTAGCAGTAATATGTAACCCTCCACCAAATGACAGAAGACCCAGTCAAGAGTACGAAAACAACAACATGGCAGTTAACACTATAATTGAGAGGGCAGCCTCTGCTGCCTGTAGAAATAGATCCCACCTGCTCATCATGGGGGACTTCAATCACGGAAGGATTGATTGGGAGAACAAGGAACCGCATGGAGGTGAGGATACGTGGAGAGCCAAACTACTGGAGGTGGTGACTAGAGACTTCTTAACCTAGCATGTCAGAGAACCCACAAGGATGAGAAGAAATGACGAATCAGCGAGACTCGACCTGGTCTTCACCCTGAACGACTCTGACATAAGAGAAATCGGTTTTGAGGCCCCAGTAGGAATGAGCGACCACAGTGTATTGGTGTTTGAGTACCTGATTGAAGAAGAGTTATTGAACTCGAGGAGGGATACCGAAACCAAAAGGTTAGCATACCGAAAGGGAAACTATGAAGAGATAAGAAAATTCCTAAAAGATATAGCATGGGAAACAGAGCTCAGGGAAAAGACGGCCCAAGATATGATGGACTACATCACGCAAAAGAGCAAGGACGCAGCAAACAAGTTTGTCCCAGCCTAAATGGAAAACAGTGAAATGAAGATGAGAAACCCATGGTTTAATCAGACATGTAGGCTAGCTAAGCAGCAAAGTAAAAGGGCATGGAGAGACTATAGGAATAACAGGACACTGGAGAGCAGAGAAAGATACCAGAATGCCAGGAATGAATATGTCAGGATGAAAAGAGAGGCAGAAAGACAATACGAAAACGACATCGCAAGCAAGGCAAAGACTCTGCCTAAATTGCTGCATAGCCACATCAGGAGAAAAACAACAGTAAAGGAACAGGTTATGAAATTAGGGATAGGGGCAGAAGGATTCACTACAAACGACAAGGAAGTGTGTGAGGAACTGAATAAGAAATTCCAAGAGGTCTTCACCTTAAAGCAAGGAGAAATCCCAGAGATAAGAGAGGGAATAGCTAACCAGGAACCACTGGAAGAGTTTGAGATTACCAGCGGGGAAGTAAGGAAGTGTTTACTAGAGATGGATGTGACAAAGGCTATAGGCCCAGATGGAATCTCCCCTTGGATACTAAAGGAAGGAGCAGAAGAACTGTGCCTACCACTCTCCATAGTGTATAACAAATCTCTGGCAACAGGGGAACTGCCAGAAATTTGGAAAGCAGCTAACGTAGTCCCGATATACGAGAAAGGGGATAGACAAGAGGCACTGAATTACAGGCCAGTGTCCCTAACCTGCATACCATGCAAGCTGATGGAGAAGATTGTGTGAAGAAAGCTAGTGGAGCACCTGGAGCGAAAGAACTTTGTAACACAGCACCAACATGGATTCAGGGATGGCAGGTCCTGCCTCACAGGGTTACTTGAATTCTACGACTAGGCAACAAAAATAAGGCAAGAAAGAGAAGGGTGGGCAGACTGCATATTTTTGGATTGTCAGAAAGCCTTTGATACAGTGCCACACAAGAGGCTAGTGAAAAAGCTGGAGATGCAGGCTAGAGTGAACTGGAAGGTACTCTGTTGGATACAGGAGTACCTAAGCAACAGGAGACAACGAGTCAGTGTGAGGAGTGAGGTTTCAGATTGGCGAGACGTTACGAGTGGCGTCCCACAGGGGTCAGTCCTTGGACCCATACTGTTTCTGATATATGTAAATGATTCTATACCCAGAGGGTATAGAATCTTTTCTCTCAATGTTTGCCGATGATGCAAAAATTATGAGGAGGATTGAAACTGAGGACGATAGTAGGAGGCTACAAGATGACCTAGACAGACTGAGTGAATGGTCCAATTGAAGTTCAACCCGAGTAAATGCAAAATAATGAAACTAGGCAGTGGAAACAGGAGGCCAGACACAGGATACAGAATAGGAGATGAAGTATTTAATGAAACGGACAGAGAGAAAGATCTAGGAGTTGATATCACACCAAACCTGTCTCCCGAAGCCCACATAAAAAGAATAACGTCTGCGGCATATGCGAGGCTGGCTAACATCAGAACAGCGTTCAGGAACCTGTGTAAGGAATCATTCAGAATCTTGTACACCACATATGTAAGACCAATCCTGGAGTATGCGGTCCCAGCATGGAGCCCGTATCTTGACAAGCACAAGACGAAGCTGGAAAATGTCCAAAGGTATGCCACTAGACTAGTCCCAGAACTAAAAGGCATGAGTTACGAGGAAAGGCTGCGGGAAATGCACCTTACGACACTGGAAGACAGAAGAGTAAGGGGAGAAATGATCACAACCTACAAAATCTTCATAGGAATCGACCGGGTAAACAAGGATAAACTATTCAACACTGGTGGGACGCAAACAAGGGGACACAGGTGGAAACTGAGTACCCACATGAGCCACAGAGACGTTAGAAGGAACTTTTTCAGTGTCAGAGTAGTTAACGGATGGAATGCATTAGGCAGTGATATGGTGGAGGCTGACTCCATACACAGTTTTAAATGTTGATATGATAGAGCCCAGTAGGCTCAGGAATCTGTACACCAGTTGATTGACAGTTGAGAGGCGGAACCAAAGAGCCAAAGCTCAATCCCCGCAAGCACAAATAGGTGAGTCAAATAGGTGAGTACATAGGCACTAGTCATGAAGGGGGGATCAACCCCCCCCCCTCACCATACATAGGCACTGGTCATGAAGGGAGGATCAAGTTAATGCTGAGGTAATCTAGACTACCTTCCTCTCACCAAATCTTCACTCTACACTACACTTTGATCTTAGCCGATAGGCAGAGAAGAAGGTAAACGAATACCTTCCATCAGTGTTTGGAAGATGAATGCCACAGAAAAAAAACACTAGGATAATGGCCTCCTATGGCTTGTGTGTAAAAATTATTGTTCAAATTTACGAAAAGCATTTTATAACATTAGTGTTTTTATATTTTTATACTAATGCTATATATATCAAAATTTCAGCAAATATCCATGACATGGTAAGATTGGCCAAAGTAATCAAAGATAATCGAAGTTGGACAGCAAAGTTTGGACTAAAATCTTTTCACCTGAAGCGGATGGCCATCAAGTATGCATCATCACTGAGGACCAAGGCAACCTGTGAGTTGACTATGTATTTGATGATCATATTGCTAATATCAAGTGACATTTCTGAGAATTTTAAATTTTTGAATTGAAAATATATATATTTCGTTAAACATGACCGCATTGATGGCATTGTTGATCTTATTCTAAAATCTTTGTATACGTCAAGCTATTTTCTTACTCTCTGGATTAAGAAGAGCAATCAAGTTACCGAAATGCATGGTTAAGAAACGAATCATTATTGAAAGGTATTTTTTTATAGTACGTAATCGTCCCACTCTGGAACATCTTTACGTAAAGAATGAAAATACAATGTGCCAATTTATCTTAAATACACATGACCAAGCCACACACCAGAAGATGAAGAGACGACGACGTTTCGGTCTGTCCTGGACCATTATCATGTCAATTAAATACACATTTGAAAGAGGTGAAGTTGTGTGGGGGGGTTAAGGTTAGGTAATCACACATAGGTAAAGAGATAGGAGAATAATAGGGATGGATCCCATCAAACAATTGGTAAGGCGGTGGGCGGGAAGAACTTGGTAATGTCGTTATCCGGTGCTGTATGGTGAGGTCTGGATTTGAGCGTAGAAATGGTATCAAAGTCGTTACTCTGTATATTTAGGGTAGTTTTCTTTTATGAGTATAGCCTTCAGTATTTGCAGTCTTTTCTGGTCAGTGGCAGATGCCAGGATTGTTGTATTTTCTACTAACATGTTCCTAACGAGTGTTGTGTTATGTTCATTTTGCATATGGTTTCTAGGGCCACTAGCTTGTAGATGGCAGGTCAGTCTTCTCGTAAGCTTTGTGGTGGTCAAATCAATGTAAGTATATCGAAGGTGGCATCCTTCACTGAGGCATGGATGTTGGTATACCTCGTTTGCTTTTTCGAAAGAGTTGTATTGTTTATTGGGGCTGTTCCTCTAGAGGTAGCAGCCTTTGAATTGAATTGCCACTACCTCTCCAACCCAAGACTTTACCAGAAGAAATTGGAGATAGAAATAATACTCCACACCAATAGGAATTATATTGCTAATTATTCTTTCTTCAGTTTTGTATTGTTTGCTCATAGTGGATTTGTAATACAGTTTTATGATAGGGAGTGTTTACTGTTGCTGTTGTTCTGTTATTCCATTTTTCTAAATACCTTCTGATATAGGTGTTGACTTCCCTATTCATGTACCCGTTGTTTATTAGTACTTGAAGGCTTCTGTCCAGTTCCGTGTGAATGTTTTGCCAGTCAGAACAATGAGTAAGGGCTCAGTATGTAAATGCGCTTATTACACTAGTTTTATATCTGGCTGGGCGTTCGGAGTGACCATTCATGCACATTCCAATGTTGGTGGGCTTAGTATAAACTTCTGTCTTGAAAGTGTTGTCTTTGGTTCACGTAGACATTGAGGAAAGTGAGTGCACCATCGATGCCTAAGTCATGGATAAAGTTAAGCACTGAGTTCAGCAAAAGTAGATCCTTTAATCATGACAGTTCCTGGAGGTCTTTCACACATACAAATATATCATCGATCAGCCTGTCCTCCAAAAATGGGGAGGTAAATGTAACAGCCCCATAAGTGAAATTATGTACTATGTATGCCAGTCAGGAATTGTACTTATTTACAATTAGTATTAAATCGTACTGTCAAATATATTGTGAATATTTGAGCTTACCTGAAAAGCTGAATAAAAAACCACGACCTAACCTAACCGTCTTAGTTTTTGAAGATAAGCATTTTATTCCTTCTTAATTACAATTACTACGTAACCTATAGTAGGCATTCGTCAATCTCGTTGGGTTATGGAGTTGTACCCTGGATGTCTAGTTGTTGTAGTCTAGTTGGATGCAACGCCTGCTGTGGCTGTGAAGGCCAACCCGAGAATGACAGTCCCGACTGCAGCGAGCGCAGATAAACGCCGAAGGGGGTGCGTCTGACAGTGGTCCAGACCTCGTCTGAATTCTATTATCCTCCGCCTGCCTCTTCAGTTCATCCTCGAATTGCTGGAGTCCCTTCTGCATTTTGCATCTCCAGGCAGATCTGTCTGTAGCTGCTGCCTCCCAAGTATTGATGTTCATCTGCTTGAGGTCGCGTTTGCAGGCATCTTTGAAATGCAGCTGAGGTCTTCCGGTGGGTCTCCTTCCTGATGCCAGTTCTCCATACAAGAGGTCCTTCGGTATGCGTCCATCGTTCATGCGTGTGACATGTCTCAGCCATCGCATGCGTCTCTGCTTCAGGAGAGTGAACATTGAAAGGACTCCTGTTCTCTCGAGTACTGTGTTGTTGGTGACATGGTCTTTCCACGTGATGTCAAGGATGCATCTCAGGTTCCGCATGTGAAAGGTATTGAGCCGTCTCTCCTGGCAAGAGCACAGGGTCCAGGATTCCGAGCCGTAGAGAAGTGTACTCACCACACATGCCATGTAGACTTGTGCCTTGGTGTGCACTGTCAGTTTGGCATTTTCCCAAACGAGCTTTGTGAGCCTGGCCAGTGTTGTTGTGGCCTTCCCGATACGCCTGTTGAGCTCAGTGTCCAGGGAAAGGGTGTCTGAGATTGTGGAGCCCAGGTACACAAACTCGTGAACTGCCTCCAGCACATAGTGTGCTATATTTATACAGGGTAGCTCATTGACATCTGGTCCCATCACCTGTGTCTTCTTCAGACTGATTGTCAGGCCGAATGCGGAACAGGCTGCGGCAAAGCGGTTGAGCTGCTGCTGCAGGCCTTCTGCTGTGTGTGGTGATCGCTGCGTCGTCGGCGAAGCAGAACTCCCTGAGGATTCTCATCTGTACTTTTGTCTTTGCTCGGAGTCTGGATAGATTATAGAGCTTTCCATCAGATCTTGTACGGAGATCTGCTTGACGAGGATCGCGAAGAAGATGCCGAACAGTGTTGAAATTGAAGCAAGAACGCACTCCTGTTTAACACCACTGTTGATGTTGAATGTTCAGAAGTTAAGCCATCGTACACGACTGTCCCCTTTATGTCCTTGTGGAACGGTTGTATCATGCTGAGTATGGTGGGTGGGCAGCCAATTTTGGCCAAGATCTTGAAAAGTCCGTCCCTGCTCACGAGGTTGAAGGCCTATGTAAGGTCAATGAAGGCGATGTACAAAGCTTTTCTCGTCTCCCTGCACTTTTCTTGAAGCTGTCTCAGGGAGAACATCATGTCAGTTGTCGACCTCTCTGCTCGGAAACCACACTGTGACTCAGGGTATACTCTCTCGGCAAGAATCGAAGCCTGACAAAGCTACCCTGGCAAAGAGTTTGCCGACGTCGCTGAGGAGGGAGATGCGGCGATAGTTGTTGACATCGCTTCGTCACCTCTATTTTTGTAGAGAGTGATGATGTTTGCATCTCTCATGTCTTGTGGCACCAAGCCCTCCCTCCAGCATTGGCACAGAAGATCGTGAAGCTCAGTTTTAAGTATTGAGAACTTCAGGCAGAATCCCGTCGTCTCCTGGGGCCTTCCCTGAGGAAAGTCAGTCCACTGCTTTCTCAACTTCTTCCACAGTTGGTTCAAGATCAAGTTCTTTCATGATGGATAGGCACTCGATTGCATCCAAAGCCTCTACGCTGACCAAGTTCTGTCTGGAGTAGAGTTCGGAATGTTCCACCCAGCGATTCATCTGTTGATCACGGTCTTTAATGATCTCTCCAGTGGCTGACTTCTGAGAAGCCGTCCTGTTTTGTGTTGGTCCTGTTGCCTGTTTGATCCCTTCGTTCATGCCTCTTTTGTTGCCGACAGTGGCCGCAGTCTGGATGCTGGAACAGAGTCGAAGCCAGTAATAGTTAGCACAGCGCCTCACAGTTTGTTGAACTCTACTGCGGCAGTACGGAGAACCTGTAGGGTTCCTTTCTGAGGGCAGGTTCTTGTAGGATGAGAGAGCACGTCTCTTTTCCTCTACGAGGGGTAACAGTTCCTCTGCACTGGCCTCGAACCAATCTGCTGACTTGTTCTGCCTCTTACCGAAGGTGGACATGGCTGTGTTGAAAATAGTGCCCCTGAGATGTGACCACCTCTCACTTGCGCTATCGCAGGGTGGTACAGGAAGGGCATTTACCAGTGCAGCAGTGAATTCCTCCACCTTGTGAAGGTCACGGGTCTTGTTTACGTTAATGAGTGGTCTTCCCTCGTTCTTTGCTCTGTGGACTTTCCTGGGCTGGAACTTTACTCTGCAAACGACGAGAGAGTGGTCGGTGTCACAATCTGCGCTCTGGAAGCTGCGGGTCAGTTTGACGTTTCTCAGATTGCTTCGCTCTGTAAGCCCCAGGTCGAGTTGGTGCCAATGCTTAGACCTGCGGTGTCTCCAGGAAACCTTATGCTGGGGCTTGGTGTCGAAGAAGGAATTGGTGATGCAGAGATCATGACGGCAGCAGAACTCCAGGGGGCGCTACCCACTCTCATTCATCTTCCCAAATCCAAACTGGCCCAGGCAGGAATGCCAAGAGCTGTGATCAGAACCAACTCTATCATTAAAATCTCCCAGGAGGAAGACTGGCTCTTGTTGAGGTATGTCTCTGAGAGTTAGGCCGAGGTCATCATAGAACTTGTCCATCGCTTCGGTAGAGGAGGTCGGTGTTGGTGCATAGGCATACATGAGGCTTACCATTCCTGCTGCTGTATGAAGCTTAAGTTTGATGATCCTTGCAGACCCCTCCGCGGGCGATACTATGGACCCTAAAAACCTGTTCCTAATGGCAAAGCCAACGCCATGTCCCCTTACCTCTTCTAGAGGTTTGCCCTGTCAGAAGAAGGTAAAGTCCTTCTCCCTTATGCTGCCAGTCGCGGGCAGACGTGTCTCCTGCAGGGCGACTATGTCCATCTGGAGCCTGCGTAGTTTATTGTTGATCACAGCTGTCTTGTGGGCGTCGTTAACTTCCAGTAGATTTTCCTAGAGACCCGGTGTCATGGTCCTTATATTCCATGTGCCCAGTTTGAGAGCTGGGTGGCTCTGGTATTGTTTTCTTTTGCCTGGTGCATGGTGCAAAAGAAGCACCATGCACCAGTGCTTCTTC